ATTTTTAAGAAAATTTGACAATAAACATTTATTGGAGTGAAAAATTTAAATCTTTACACAATTTTAACTAAACTTTGCAAGTAAATTTTTCGAAGTATGCAAGCAAATCTTTAGATTTGCATACATATTTAGAAAAGTCAGTCACTGCTGATTGTCAGTTAAAACCATGATTTTTAACTGATTCAAATTAAGAGAATATATTATTTATCACATTATAAATAATATACGAATAAATGTTAAACAGGTACATAATAGATATTAAATAGATTAAAGCATTTTTAACTTGTTTTATTTAGAAAAAGTGACATTGTCACATATAATTTCTTATAATCTTTGAATTTAAAAGATTGTGACGTAACACATGAGTTCACCCCCCCTCCCCCATGTCACACTTAGTCACAATTCTCAGACCCCCTCCCTCCCCCTAGCCGCGTGACGTATTATGTGTACGGCCCCTTAGTAAAAGATAATTATTTTGAAATAATAAAAGAATATTCACTACAAAATCATAAACATTGCAAACTATTTTATAGATTAGTTAAAGTTTGAAAATATTTGATTTAAAATAATAAAAGAATATTTACTGAAATCATTAAAATTGCAAACTATTGACACAACTACAAAAACATTTTTTTCTTGATATGAAAACTAATTGCGTTTAATATTATATTACACACGAGACAATTTATATTTAACATCCATTCAATTTTTAGTATTTAATTTTGTAGAGAATCTTATTTTTTATTATAAAAGAAACAAAACATATAAAGGAAAAGTAAATACCTTTAATGCTTAAAACTTTAGTAGAATCTAATTTTTTTGGTATTCTTAAAGGATTTTTTTTTCTATTACTAGGTTTGCCCGTCACTGTAGAATCTTTAAGTTCATCAGGTGTAAATAACATCTCACAAATCATTTTTACGAAGAGAGATGGTGAGTTGGAGTTGCAGGCTTCATTATACTTTATTTTCGGCAACCAAATTCCCTTACCAAGATGAATCTAACAAAAAAAACTTTATTCATTTAATATAAGAATATTTTTATTTAAATTAAAATTATTATGAAAACATAACTTTTAAGAAAAAATAATATATTTATTTGAAAAATTACGTGATCATCTGACGCTCGCAAAAATCCAGAAGGAGGATATGAAGAACGGAGGGTACCTGAATTGTTGTCCTCGAGCAGAGTTACTAAAATAAAATTTTTTTGAAGTCAATTACAGTTACATTTAAAATAGAAATTTATATTTTTGAGCATGTGCAAGTAAAGATTTAAAATATATAACACATTTTTGACCTTTCAGATTTAATATTCATGTATTTTTAATTATATGATTTCAATTAATTTTAGAGTAGATAAAAATAAGTTTAATTATAAGGTAAAAATTTTCAGTTAGTTATCTTTGGATAAAAAATAACTTTTGTTTATTGTAAGACATACCTTGAAATTCTTCGCTTTTCTGATGTAATTTATCATTTAAATCTTTAATATTTTCATGTAGGTTTTGGATTTCAATTCGTTGCTGATCCACTATTCTCAGTTGCTGATCTAGAAGTTTAGTCAAATTGTTAACAGTATCTTCTAATTTTATGAATCGTAAATTGCAAGCTACACTTTTACAATCTGCATTTGCGTTTGACTTCATAGATTCTTCATTAATAGAAGAGTTTCTATTTTTTTCTAAAATCTCGTCACTCAAATGCTCAGCTGAAGATTCGAAACTTTTAAATGATGAATTTTCCAATACTTCATTGGAATCAGAGATTTCTTGAAGATCTTTATCTTGAATGTTTGAATTTTTGTTAGAGGTAACAAATTCTGGAAGTTGTTTTTCTTTATCATGAATTTTTTCTGTGGGTGATATTTGTGACATTCTATTTAAAGCATTCAATTTTTGTGGTAAAACGCCGGATTCTTTTATTAATTTTTTGTCACTGCTAAGAATTTTCTTCGTTGCTTTTTCATTTGAAGCAGAAGCAGAAATATCAACTTGTTTTGAACGCAATTCGTTCTGCTTATTACTAATTTTCTTCTTAATTTTGGCAGCTCTAGTACTTTCAGTACTTTTCTGTAAAGTAAGAGAAAACAATAAATAAATCAGAAAATACATTTCAATTTCTTTACTAAAATTAGGATTAAATAAATAGAGATTTGATGTCATGTGGTACTAACGTTAGTCTTGGCTTTAATTGAAGGTGCATCTGATAAAGATGATACCGAATCCAAAAATTTGGTATTAATACGAGCTCTGCTGTCCGAAACCATTTTTTGTAGTACTCCTAGGTTGTCTGAAACAGATTTTATATAATTATATCCTCCAGATATATAAATTTTATTTTTTGTTTTAAAAAAACAATTATTTTACAATTTTTTTATACAATATGACTTTATTTCTCTAGTTATTATTATAAAAAATTTAAATTATTTAATAAAATTTCGTTAAACTATTATTTAAAAATATAGAATATATTACTTTGAAGAAAATCTTCAAATTTTATTGTGCAGAAAGTTTTTTTACTAAAACAATTTAAAATGAATTTTTGTCTCACATTTTTTGAATGAAAAATATAATATACGTATATTAATAATGTTCAAAATACACCTAAAATTTTTTAGCAATATACGTTATTTATTATATTGATTTTACTATACAAATGCACTAAATGAATTTTTTAAGAATATCCATTTTTTATTTTTCATCAAACTTACACTAAGAATTCTATATTTTTATGCAATTTAAATAAATACCTTATTAAAAGCAAGTAGATTTTTGCATAATTTTTTTGATTTTACGCATTATACACATAAAAAAGTAAGATTATGCAATTATTTCAATTTTGTTAATTGAATGTATAGATAAAAAATATTTTATACTTTACCTTCAGCGAATAATATGGCAGCGGAATCATAATTATTTTCGTTACCAACAACTTTGTATTTTTTATTTTTATTTACTTGTTCAGCTTTTTCAACCATAGGAGAATTTTTGAAATCGACGTCTGTAAGAAACCTTTTTACACCTCTTCTGCTCCCACTTAAATATTGTACGTAGAAAAACATCATTAACTGTCTTCTGTATTGAATTTCCCAGTATTAAAAAAAATATCAGGAAGCCGTGATAAAATCATATTATATAGTTACATTTATGCTTATAAAAGTCAAGTGACGAAAGAATAGAGTCCGATTATAAATTTCGAAAAAACAAAAGTTATTTTACATTATCACGTATTTTCTAACATGAAAAAGTTTTTTTGTGTAGTTTGTATCGACTCTTGCTTGGCTGAAATATACTTTAAGATTTTAAAGTTTACAAAAAAAACTTCCAGAACTTGAGATCACTGATGAATAGACGAGATAAATAACACTTTTCTTGTAAAACTTTTTTAAACACACTCATAAAATGAACAGAATTTTCTTCAAAATTTCTTCAATCACACCGGTGTTGCACGTGCACTATTGCCGGTAGCACATATTAATAAAAGACAGAGTGAGAGGAGTAATGCGCATGTCTATATTCAAAAATAATAGCAGGGACGACGAAACTCCACACCAAATTTGTTGTTGTAATAATATTTATTCTGAAAGTTTTTTATTAAAAACTTTTTTATAGTAATAATTAAAATTAAAAAAATTTATAAATTAATATTAAAAATTAAAAATTGTTAAATGTTGTAAATTTACTTTTTTTACTTTTCACGTCCTGTAAAATAATCATCACACATATACGGGAAATAAGGCCTGTTCTGACGCTCCTGAAAGTTTGTATACTTTGGCAACCAGCCGTTTAAGATGTTTAAGAGCTTTAAGAGTAAAGATTTATTGGTTATTCACTATTGGTACTATTGGAATTGACCAATCAAATTACTTGTACAAAAGTTAAGTAACTGTATTTTAATGCAAGACAGCTTCAGGTTGTTAATACATAACCTATATAAAGTTCAGAGTATTCTGATTTCTGATTCAAAAAATTTGTTGATCCTATTCGAAAGTGATATTTTTAAGCTAAAGTATGATTAAAAATATTTTTGAATTATTAAAAGAAGTTGTGTAAATAATAAACGGTAAGTATATATTTAAATTAGTTAAGACAAATAAAATAAATAAGTATTTTGTCATGACTAGCGCCTCAGACGGCCTTCGGCCGTCTTCGTTGCTTCTATTTCATGTTCATTTTTGTTCAATTTTTAAAAGTTTTAATGTTAATTTTTTCAATTTAATAATTTTTTAAATAAAATTCTATTTTACTTAAAATATTTTTTTGCTTAAGTGTAAATTTTTCTATTAATTTAATTATATTTTTAATTACAAATTATATGTTATTTATTATTTATATTATTATTTATTTAGTAGTAAAAGAATAATTTCAGACTGCAGCTCCATCTCTTAAGTATATGTGAATTTTTAATGTACTACAATTTCATTTGGAAACATGAGTTCGCCCTTCTATTCATATTACCGATGCTTAATCTTTTCGATACTTTTCGAGTTACACTTTCGAGTGCATTCGATTTTTTTATCCCATGTCTTTTTTTAGAAAGGAATCTTAAACTTAACCTTTAAAAAGATGCACATTATAATTCACATTATAAATGTATTTATATTATTCTTATCCGAAGTTTTAATATAACGTCATTTAATTAACATTTTTCTATGAAAAGTACTATTTATATAACATATTATAATTTTAAGTTTTTTCAAATAATAACTTTTCTCTGTGATTGTTGTCAAAGCAATAAAAAGTTCACTTACAAATAATTAGAAAAAGGAAATAAAATATTGTTTTGGCGTAGTAATAAATTAATTATTAAAAATAATAATTAATAAATTAATTAGTAAAAATAATAATTAATAAATTAATTATTTTTTTGCAAAGCAATAATTGTATTTTTAAATATTTCTTTAAAATTATACACCATTTTATATATTATATTGCGTATTATTTTCTGGAGATATAAAATTGATTTAAATATATGTTTACAGCATGTAAAAATAAAAGATGGAGGAAGAAGATAATAAAAATGAGAAAAGAAAAATCTACCGAAAGTTTATAAGACCAGATTATAAACCAAGTATGGTTTCTTCTCAAACTGCTGCAATTTGGAGACAACGTGCTTTACAAAGAAATACACAATCTACACCATCTGATGATAACAGAATAGGTATTTGTTATTATTATCACAAAAGTTTTTAATGCTCTTTTATTATATTAAATTTTAGAATACAATTTCTTTAAAAATAAAATAAAAAATTAGTCTATATACCATTAACATTTTTTAGTTCACCAACTACACGAATCCAGTGATGACAAACATGAATCTGATGTTGAAACAGTTTCTTCATTAAGCTCTAATGAAATGTCTATTAGTGAAAATTCACTTATTAATGATGTGCCTAGAGACGACGAAATGCGGATGGACACTAACCAAGATTTCGACGAAGAATTGAATGAGCATTCCGCCTCAGAATCAAACACACAAAGTGAAGATTTAGATAGTGAAGAATCAGATCCCGAATTTTTTGACAATGTTGAGGGTAATGAAGATCCAATTAATATATATCCGTGGGAAAATAGAATTATGTTCTCACAATCTAACTTAACAGTCAGAGATGTAGTAGCAATGACAAGAGGGTTTAGTTTACGATTTGGACTGTCATATCAAGCACGGTTAGAGTTAACTAATTTATTAAAGTTATGTGCAGGTCCTGATTTTGACAGTCTAAATCTGTCAAATCATAAAATGTCTCGCATGTTTGAACCTCCGGAAAAATCAATAACATTTTCCTTCTATTGTCCAGCTTGTAAAAAAGTACTGATCTCAAAACAGAAAAAAAAATCACAAGCAATCCCTGAAGGATTATGCGATAAATGTGGATCGCAATGTAATTTATCGACTAAAAAAGGAAAATACATGTTGATGGTAGATTTAAAATACCAAATTGAACAATTGTTAAAACTTAATGATGTAAAAACTTTTTTAATCGACAGACATAGAAGGCAAAACCCTGTTAACGATATTGATGGAAGTATAACAGACGTTCAAGACGGAACTTTGTATAAATTAAACAATCCTACAAATTCGCGAAACGTTTTGACGCTAAATGCATTTTTTGATGGGGCAACCATGAAAAGAAGTGGTAATGAAAGTTTTTGGGCTATTTTGGTATCTATGAACGAATTACCAATCAATTTGAGATTTAAATACATTATGGTAGGAGGACTTATGATGGTTGATAAGGAACCAAGCCCTGATTTAATAAATGCCTTTTCAGAAGAATTTTTAAATTTAATTGAAATTTTGAATACGCAAGGTGTTGATTTAATAGTAGGTAATCGTCGCATTAATTTCATCATAAATCTTTTGTTTATTGTTGCAGACTCAGTTGCTAGGCCCTTATTGCAGAATCGATGTCAATATAATTCGTATTGCGCATGTAGTTACTGTTATCAACTTGGACTGTATATTAATCTCGTTAAATATATCTTTGATCCCGATTTTATCCTCAGATCGCATGAATCTCATGAACAGGATGTTGATGCTGTTAAAGATCGCCAACAAAATGTCAGACATAGACAAAACAGTAGGAACATAAGGAATGATCGTCGTACTTTCGTCAATGGAGTTAAAGGTCCTTCGAGTTTCATGAATTGCAATCAACGCGTTGATATGGTTTGGAGCTTTTCATTCGAATATTTACATGCTGTTCTTATTGGATCCGTTAAGCAACTATGGGAAATATGGGTTGCAAATGGTTTCTTATCTCAAAAAGATGTTGCAGACATTAACGGATTAATTAGTACCATTACAATGGTTTTCAAAACACATCGAGTTGCGCGAGGATTTTCGTTCAAGTCAAAGTGGAAAGCATCTGAGTGGAAATCGTGGCTATTGTTCTATGGAGTGCCCTGCTTGAGAAAATATTTACCTCCCCACTGCCTCGAGCACTTTTCACTATTAGTCAATACCATTTTTACTTTATTGAAAACGAAAATCACAGTGGAAGAGTTACTTCAATGTGAATTGGATATGATACAATTTGTCGGAGATTTCGAGATTTTATATGGTCAAATAAGTATGACTTTTAACGTACATCTTCTACTCCACATAGTTGAATGTGTTCGACGTTGTGGCCCACTGTGGGAAACTTCGGCATTCTGCTTTGAGAGTCACCTGCATGTGCTGAAGCAGTTTGCACTAGGTCCTAAAAAACCAGAGCAGCAAATGGCCTCAAAATCATTGGACATCCTACAATTTAAGATTGAAGCATCGAAAAACATTTTTCATTCTGAGACTGCCAGATTGTATTGTCAAAGAATATTTTCTCCTGCTTTGCTATCGACGTATGTTTCTGGAAGTACCTATGGTGTAACATTCTGTGGAAAGAGTTCACATGTTCGAATTACAAATCCTGCTAACAATGAAATAATTGAAGGAGAATCTTTTTTAAAATGCATTTATAATGGTTGTGTTTATAAAAGCGTAAAAAATACTCTTTCTGAAAAAAGGAATGCTACAGTTTTCAAATTAATCTCCGGTGATGTTGTTCAAGTCCAAGATATTGTGAGAACAAACGACTCTTGCTTCTTGTCAGTAATTAACTTAACTGTTATTGACGACGAATTAGTGAGACATTTGTTTAGAGTTCTAGAAAAAGGTAATACAGAAATACTAATATCTATAACTGATGTTACTGAAAAATTAATATTCATCGAATGTGATGAAAATAGTTATGTCTGTCAATTACCTCAGAGTATCGAAATACAGTAGAGTAAGCAACGGCGAATACATAACTGTACCGATTTATATTTTCGTATGTGCATTCTTCAATTTCTCGAAACTCTTTGCTAATTTTCAAGCGAATCATATGTATAATTTAGAAATGGTGATTATCAAAAGAAATCAATAATAGTTTCTAATAAACTATATCTTATGTAAGATGTATTATGATATTGAATGTAATATTATTTAATTAAAATTCGACAAAAAACATTTTATTAATCATTTTTTATATTATTTATTATTATATTTTTTAAATAAACTATTATTACTAAATTTATTAATAATCTTTTATTATACTTAACATTATAATAACAAAATGTTCCAAGATCCAATTTAAAGTCTGTGCGCTTGCGCCAACAATTAAAAACAATTCAAAAAAAGTTTAACTTATTTCCACAATTAAAAACGATTCATGAAAAATATAATCGATTAAAAACAATTGACTAAAATTTTTTAATGAATCGTTTTATATTGTGACCAATCGATTATTTCTAGAAGGGATACCTATAGACCCAACCTTTTTTACAACAGTGCTTACCTACATGTGATTCGCGTCATTTGTGGTTTTTATTTAGCTGTTGAAAAATGTACAAGTGTTTTTATTGTGCGAACAAGTATTTTTTCTCTTATAATAAAAATAATAAAAATTACAATTTTTAATAAATAATTGTACCATGTGTATATGTGTGTTTGTGATTAAAATAAAGTGACATTTATATATTTGTTTGTTATGCATTTATTATAAGAATAAATCGTATTTCAATACTTACCTTAAATATTATTTATTTTAGTTGCAATATTATATTTAATATATTAAATTAATAATAATTAATGATGTTTCATAATATATACACTGTAAAAAAAGGGAGTTAAATTTTAACTCCCCCGGGGGGTCTATAAAAGTCGCACCCATTGGGGAGTTAATGCCAGGGGAGTTAAATAAAGAGAGTTAAAATTTAACACCCAAATGCTAACTCCCCATGGAAAAAATAACTCGCGCGGGTGTTGAATAAAGGGAGTTAGAAATTATTTTTAAGTTTATTGAAAGTTGTGTAAAGAACAATTTTCACTAAACATTTCAGTTAAATATGCCGAATATTACAAGTAAATATTCAATAAATTTTTAGGAAAGTTTCGGTGCTGTGGGGGTATATATATATATATATTTTTTTTTTTAAATGGTATTCATATGTGACCGTAAATACGACCATAAATACGGGCATAAGTACGGCTGTATTTGCTGTTTCAATTACACTACCTTTCTAAGGCCCGTATTTAGGGTCGTATTCACAGTCATATTTATATGCTCGTATTTACAGTCGTTCTTTTTCAGTAGGGATATGACGGGTCCAATATCGCGGAATAATTTTTAAATCTCAGCATATTAACTTGAAACTTGTTACTTACTTATTTTCAGATTACAAATTTGATTTTAGTTTTTGAAAAGTCAAAACGACGGATCTATTATAGCGAACGAAATTTTTAAAAGTCGTCTAATTTTTATAATACTTGAAACTTGTTACTTAGAGGCCCCCATTTCCGCAATAAGAGTCGGATAACGTCAAAACAATCGGCGGATAATGGAAAAAAATTATTGGAGTGATTTTAAAATAATTAAGGATTTAAAAAACTTTAGCCCTTAAATATTGGATCCAACATAAATTATTATTAATCCCCCCACAGCATCTGAACTTGCAGCAACATTGACAATATTGCTGCAAGTTTCACAATATTGATGCAATGTTAACATTTTAAAAATCTCGAGTTATATTCGTTATCAGCGACCACAACAACTCACGAGTATCAAGTTTTAAGTTAATTCGACGAGTTTTCTAAAAATCCATCTGCCATATTGAATCGGACATTTTATATTTATTTAATACTGACCACAGATTCGTACTAAGCGACCTTGGAAAATCTCAGAGTATTGAATTTCAAGTTAATACAACTTACAACGATTTTTTAAAAATTCGTCCGCCATTTTGAAAAAAATCAGCCGCTTCAGGTTTTTGTTGATGAGGGTCCATGGGCGCGATATTTTGAGCTTTTGAGAGAATCCCCTTAACTTTTTTCCAATAAAAATATAATGAAAAAGAAATTTTTTCTCAAAAAATGTTTTCTGATATAATTGTTATTAAACATAATGCTTAAAGTCAATGATAATTTTTCGTCCGCTTGGACGAAATTACTACCTCAATATTACCTTAATATTACAGTGTTATATATTTATTAAAACAGATAATTAAACATTTTGCCTTTGGTTTCATAAATATCAGAAAGATGTTGTAATAAATGTATAGTGGTTTTAAAAAAAGTTTCATCTATTTCAATCTTACGCCAACTATAAAGTCATACAATTTGATTACAACGATATTTCTTTAAATGATATTAGGTACATCAGTTTATTTACAATAAAAGTAATCATCTTATTTCAGGAAAAAAGACTACAGTCGGACACTTTGTTATTGGCCCAGAAGTTGGAGGAAGTTACAGTGAACAATGGAAGCAAGCCCTTGCAAAACCAGGCAATCAAATAACAAAATGGCAGCCTTTCGAATAAATATTTCTTTGTATAATAAGAAAATTAATACCATACAAATATAGAACTCACATTCTAGATTGCATTTTTGTAATAAAATTTGTATATTTCTATTTATATATATAAGCAATTTGTAGATTTCTAATGATTTACTGCAAACATCACATTTTTAAAACAGTTTCAATTTTAACATCTCTAATGTTCATTAGAAACTAATTATAACTTTGTACTTTAAAGTTAAATGTTTCCTTGCGAAATTATTGCAATGCTGTCTACATGCTGTATCCGTCTTTGACGGGATTTTCGTGCCTATAATTTCAATGCAATCACTTTTTCTAAATTGATAGAACTTCTTCTAAATAAAATGTAATTTATTGTGTATTTATGTTTAAATCAGATTTTACGAAAATTTTTGAATTTGTTTTGTATGTATTTTTAAAATTAATATTAATCCTAAAAGAATTAACATATTTTAATGTTTTTAAATTATTTTAATAATAATTTTGTATGTAATAAAAGTTTTTATTGACAATAATGTAGTTTTTTCCACGAAGGTGCCAGTTATACCTAATATTTTAATATTCTTTTTATCCCACATGCACAAAAATGGCGCTTTCTGATAGCAGACGACAGGGAGGAAAGTCATTCATTTCTTCGACCGTATGAAAATGGCGGCCGTGTTCTCCCAAGGGCAACAAAATTAGCTGTTCACATGCATTTTTTTTTTGCCCATGGGAGAAAACGGCCGCCATTTTCATACAAGTCGAACAAGTGAATGACTTTTACTTCCTGTCGTCTGCTATCTGAAATCGCCGCTTTTGTGCATTAGGAATAAAAAATTTCGTAAGTAACACGAGAATAAAGGCAGCCAATTTCTTTACGATGATTTTTGTGACACGAGTGGAGGTCGAGGGCGCCCCGAGACCTCCACTCGTGTCACAAAAATCACCGTAAAGAAATGGCTGCCTTTATCCTCTTGTTGCTTAATATACTATATAATGTGGCTCAAAATATATTAACAGTCGAGTCGCATTAACTTTCAGATTTGTATGAACTATATTTCACACTCATTATTCTAAGTACATCCACAGAGAAAGTTTATTATTGAAAGTTTATTATACTTGGCGCCTCGTTCTCGAGATTACATGTAGTAGTGTCTAGCTGCTAGGAACTTCACAACGTTTGGAGTTTGAATTGGAAATTTTTTCCCGCGCATGCACGCCTGTCGGCGCGCGCGCGCACCTAACTTCATTGTTGTTTCGTTGTGCAAGGAACTCGGCACGTTTTTTTTCTCAAACGTATTATAATTTCAATCGATTTAAGTTATTTACTCTTATTTTGACTAATGAGAGGCTCAAGCAAGAAGAGATCAAGAAGCAGATCTAGTGAAAGACGTCCCTCCAAGAGAAAATTGGAGGAAAGAATAATTAGCGTGGAAAACAAACTACTTAACCTCACTAACCTCTTACAGCAGATCGTTAACGGAAAATCAAAAGGTAAATTAACTTTATTATAAAGGAAAAATACTTACATGAGATTCCAAACGATTCCATGTTTGTTATGCGAGTTAAATACTCCATAATATGCACAAAAGTGCGCGATTACCGCTCTCTTTCATGACGAATAGTTCCACAAGAACAAATTTTCGTCTCCCTCCGCAAATAGCAAAGGGATCAACTCTAAATGAAGTATTTTTGAATTTCAGAAATACCTGAGAGCACAGCAACAGATATTTTGCAAAATGGAACAAAAAGTTCAAACGATAATACTCTTGCCAATGCGCCAGATCATGACAATAAGTCAGACGAAGTACAAAATAATCAAACCGATCCGCCAGGCGACTCCGGCGAAAATATGGCCGACCACGATCTCGAAAATTCAACAGCCGCACACAGACGGACAAGAATCCTAGTGTTGACGACGACGTACTGGAAGCCCTGGGGGAAGACCCAAAAGAGTCAATCCAGTTTCAAGGCGATACACATGACAAGGTGAAACAAATCTGGGATCCAGGAAGGAAGAGTAAGGAGACCGAACTCTGCTTCTACAAATGTCTGAGAAATATGCACGAAAAGTGCCAGACTCACTGTGTTCTAGTTGATCACCAATTAAGTCGATCATGCGCATTGAACTAAAGTTCAGTGTTGACATAGATGAAAAGTGTGGTTATGTCAAGGTAAATATTACATAGTTTAAACAGTGTTAATTTTAAAAGCAAATTTATTTATTTGCAATTGTGATATTATTTAGATTTTCAAAATAATTTAATAATATATTTATGAAAAGGGAAAAATTTTGCGAAAATGGTTAAGAAGAATTGTGTTTATAACTAGAGTATATTTACATACCGTAGAAGGATAGAAGAGACTAATGTTTTTAGACTCTTTTTCTTTCTTTACATCCTGGCACACAACACGTCATTTTTTAAATAAAATAAATAAATAATTATTAAAACGAAATGTATTGTATATGTATGTATCTCACTAAGACCAGCTAAATGTAAACATTAGATCTTACATCTCACTCGCACAATTTTTACGAGAAACAGAGACACAACACAGCTTATGCGCATGATCAACTTAATTGGAGGTCGACTAGAACACAGTGAGCCTGGCACTTTTCGTGCATATTTCTCTGAGATTTTTAAAGCGCTTTCTACACAGAGTTCGGTCTCCTTACTCTTCCTTCCTGCTGGGAGCGTATAATGAAAGAAGGAATAAAGGAAGATCCGCTAAATAAAATCTTGGACAAATACCCTCGCGAAGGTTCTTTTAGAACCGAAGCACCGAAGGTTAACCCAGAACTTTCGCCTGCCTTAACGGAAATAGCTGTAAAAAGGGATAAACATTTTTCCCTGACACAAAAATGTGTCGGTTCAGCCTTAATATCTCTCGGTTCTGCGATTTCAATGATTCTGGATGACTCAAACGAAGGAACAGATCGCTTAGTTTTGATTGAGCGTTCGGGCGACACAGGTCGCCCCCTAGCTAACATATTTCATCAGCAGACAGTTTGCCGTAAATCCTTTATCACCCCTCTCATGAATAAAACCATGAAGCCCATACTCGAGGCAACCGTCGCGGACGAGTGGCTTTACGGCAAGTCCTTGTCGGATCAGGTAAAAGAAGCTCAGCAAATTGCAAAAGCATGCGGAAAAATTAAAGCTCCGGAAAAATCTATCGCCAAAAAACCATCCACCAGCAGTCAGGGAAACTGGAAGGGCTTTTCTGCGCAGACCCAGCAGAGGAGCAATTTCCAACGGGTCCACTGGAAATCGCAACCGTATTCGAAACCGAGAACATACAATTCGCAGAATCGAGGCCCTCAACTAACACAGAGTCGTCCAAAGCAGAATCACCAATTACCCAAGAAGAAATAGTGGAGGTAAGAGATTTAGCAGGCAGGTTGAAATATTTTCTTCCTGCATGGGAGTCAATTACCCAAGACTCATTTATTTTAAGCGTCATAAAAGGCTTTAAAATACCTTTCAAAGAAACTCCGTATCAAGAATACCCTCCAATATGTACTCCTCAATCGAACCTAGAAATTGTTTCTTTACAAAAAGCGATTGATTTACTTCTGCTAAAAAATGCTATAGAAGTCTGTAAAGACTGCAAGGGTCAGTTTTTGTCCTCATTCTTTTTGGCCGAAAAATCTTACGGCTCTGACAGATTTATACTAATCTAAAAAAGCTGAATCAATTTATTGAGCCCGACCATTTTAAAATGGAAGATATCAAAATTGCTAAAAATTTATTGACTAAAAACGCGTTCATGTGATCAATCGACCTAAAAGATGCCTTCCTTCTTATTCCTATTCACGCGGAAAGCAGAAAATTCTTAAGATTTCGTTTTAAGGATGTACTGTACCAATTTACATGCTAACCTTTCGGCCTATGTCTGAGTCCCTTTTTATTTACAAAAATAATGAAATCTGTCATGTCAAAACTTTGGTCAAAAGGATTCTTATCGGTCATTTACTTAGACGATATGCTATTAATCGCCAATTCTTACGATTCATGTAAATCAAACGCGTTGCAATCTATTGATTTACTTAAAGATCTAGGATTCATAATTAACTACGAAAAAAGTTCGCTAGTTCCCTCTCAGTCATGTACTTACCTCGGCATGATTTTAAATTCAAAAGATTTAACATTGGAATTAACAGAAAAGAAAAAAAACTCGTACTTCTTCCCTTTTAAATCAATTCAAAGTTGGAACCGAGTGTGATGTTAGATACTTTGCAAAGTTGCTGGGAGTGCTAAACGCATGTTCTCCAGCACTTGCATACAGTCCCATTTATTGCAAGAGGTTAGAACGAGAAAAATAACTGACACTACTATTCAACGGCGATGACTATGACGCAAAAATGTCAATTAGGGAACACCTTCGCGAAGATCTCGAATGGTGGTAATCTCACATTCCAATAGGCTTCAATCCCATTAGAAGCCATCAGTTTCTACTCGAAATTAATACAGACGCTTCTTTAATCGGTTGGGGTGCTTATTGTAACGGGTTATCCGCGCAGGGGTTTTGGTCAGAAGAAGAAAAATTCTTTCACATAAATTATTTAGAACTCTTGGCCGTTTTTTTCGCCCTAAAAAGTTTCGCCAACCATTCGTCAGATTGCGAAATATTATTACGGGTGGATAACACAACGGCAATAGCCTACATTAATAAATCAGGTGGTGTGCAGTATCCAAAATTAAATAATTTAGCTCGCGACATCTGGCAATGGTGCGAAAAACGCAAAATTTGGATCGTCACGTCATATATCGTCTCTAAAGAAAATGTAGAAGCAGACGAAGCTTCAAGAAAAATTAACGTCGATACCGAATGGGAATTGAATGATAAATCATTTAAAATAATTGCCCGCAAGCTAGGTTCGCCAAAGATGGACTTACACTCGATTCTTGTTATAACGAATCTCGTTACAACGTTCTCTCGTTATAACGAACATTAAAACTCTCGATACAACGACAAAAAAAACACGAACGAATTTAAGAATTTAATTTAACCAAAATTTTGGTTAACTCAAAAAAAACGACAAATTTAATCGACTCTTAAATTTATTTAACCTAAAGAATCTAGTGATCCGATTATTATTAAAAATACTTACTTTTTCTTTAAACTGATTTCATAATTCAAAAACTTTTAATATAAATAAACATACTTTACGAAAAATTTAGCACGTATTTGACGTTTGAATAGAACGTGAAGTAGGATCCTCTCCTTTCGTCGTAATATCGAGATTTTGAAGTCCCGAGATCGTCGTTATAACGAGAATCGAGTGTATTCGCAACACGTATTAATAAAAAATGCAATACATTCTGTTTACGTTACCCGGACCCAGAAGCAAGTTACGTCGATGCCTTTACAATCCAATGGAATAAAAAATTCTTTTACGCATTCCCACCGTTCGCTCTAATTTTACCCACATTGAGAAAAATTATTCGGGACAAAGCCACCGGTATCATAGTGGTACCTGATTAGCCCACGCAACCATGGTACCCTCTGTTTCTCTCCATGACGTGTGAACCAATTCTCTACTTTGATCCTTCACCAAATTTATTAATTTCTCCTTCCAGGAATCTCACCCACCCGCTTGCGAGGAATTTGACGTTAATAGCAGCCAAATTATGCGGGAAGCCTTCTTGAAAAGGGGAATACCAGAGAAATCGCTTGACCTGTTTCTGTCATCTCTATCAGAGTCAACGCAAAAACAATACTCAGCACCGTTGAGAGAATGGGCAACTTTTACAAAATCAAATAATATCGACATATTTCAAACAGAAATAAAGGATATAATAAAATTTCTTACAGTAAAATTTCGAAACGAAGCAAAATACGGCACGTTAAACTCGGCTCGTTCAGCGATTTCTCTAATATCGGAAACACAGATTTCCAAGGATCGTCTGTTAAACAGATATTTCAAGGGAGTCTTCAGACAAAGACCTATAAAACCCAAGTATTCATCTACATGGGATACGGGACCTGTCTTAAATTACATCGAAGAAGTATCTGCACGTCCAGACCTCAACGCAACAGAGAGATCAGAAATAACAGCGTAAAACAACTCGGTTGTAAGAAAGCATTCATCAGTGCCACCTAGTGGCATTTTTGGGTACTCAAATTCTATACGCGAGAGCATTTTCTCGAATTGAGAGCGTGCGCTGAGCTAGTTTTTAATTTGTAACTCATACAAATATTGCTGTTCCAAAATTTCTTTTGGTGAGATAAAAAGGTAATAAAAAAAGTAATATTTTGAGGTAATTTTGAAAAAAATCGAAGGGGGCATAAAGGGTTAAAAATTGAAAAAAAAAAATTTTTTTAATTTTTTCTATGAAATATAAATTAAAAAAATTTGTGTGATACATAGTTTTAAAGTTTAGGTAATTCTGCAGAAAAAACTCTCTGGGCAGGCTCGGTAACCTACCATGTATTTAATATGGCTGCTGTTTTTAACACTAAGCGCCACCTAGGAGAAGGGCTCAACTAAAATTTGAATGTGGTAGTGTTTATAAGTGTAACATTTTTATTTTTCAAAATTATTTATTTTTATTCATTAACTAACCTTAAATAATAAAAATATTGTTTAAGGGAGAGTTAAATCACGAAGATTAAATATAAAATTAAAGAAAGGCGATATTAATTTTTCGGTTTCCCAAATTAAGTTAATTTTATAATAGCTTGCAATTAATGAGTTTAATTTAGAATTTTATTGTGTGTTTCTTTCTGAAAATAAAGTATAGATTAGAAATAAATTTAACACTTAAACATTCATTTTAGAGTATTTATATTTTAGAAGTAACAAAATTAGAAATACATCATTTTTAACAGTATATATATTTTTAAAAACTTGAAAAATCTTATTAAGAACAAAATTAAATTATGATTAACTTTACAGTTTACAGTTATCATAAGTTGCAGTAATATTTAATGAGAAAAATTATAGAGAGTGTTTATAAATGAATTAACAACAGCGAAGTAATTACTATTTAAAGTATAAATATTTCAATAAACTATTCGAGAATAGATTTTAAAATGATGAAAATCATACACAGAATAGAGTTAAAAAATTGATTATTTCCCGATACGAATGCATAGTAGAATTAAAGCATATTAATTACATTAATGAAAGATTTTCCCATAAATATTAAAATTCTACGGTTCTAAATCGAGTGTAGGATATTTTGAAAATATACTTCGCTTTTACTTTTTCGTGTGTCAGTGTCGAAAAACGTAATAGTTTTTTTTACGTTTAAAAAAAACAATTACTTAAAAATATGAAAAACAATTATTTAAAAGACGAAATCAGAAATAAAATATTTCTCAATACGAATATTTAGTTAAATTTATAAAAATTAATTAAATCAAAGATTTTCTCGTATGTAATGAAAACTCATGAAAAATCTGTTTTATCAATTGTAAGATTTTCTTCATTTTTTGCACAAAAAAGAAAAAACCAGAACTGAATTTTATAATTACTTATTTTTCAGTGTCGAAAAAGTGTGTTGACTTTTAATAATGGAGTTCCATTTAGCCACCGCTTTTATAACAAGTAAATTAGCATTTGGCTTGTTAAGTAAATTAAAAACAATTTTTCCCTTCAAAATTCCGACAAGAAAAGCTGTTGTGGACGCGATGTATTGTTGAATACACAGTGTCAGGAATAAACTTATCGTTTCATCTCTATGTTCATTACATGTAAATACGTCAGTTCTGACTTCTTTCTTTAAAAAGTTTAAGAGAAATGTGACAACTCCTTTTTCATGTAAAATAGGACTCGAAATCCTTTGGAGAATAGATTTTAAGTCACAGTGGATTTCTTCTAAACGCGACCTTGAAGCAAAACGAGAGTTGGATGGACTAAAAGCAAGTTTGTCTATAACTGACTTACATACTTCACATGATCCTATTGTTCCTGATTTTTTCCAAATTTGTTTTAAAACAAAATCAGTCGCTGTCGAAATTGTACCTTTTTCCGGGATTGGATCAGTGTTACAAGCTTTTGCTCTAAGTAACGATTGTGGAACATTTACAGCAGGACGAGTGCAATTTGAAAGCGTTTGAGATTCATCAATTGGACCAAAGTAATTTTGCCAGGAAAGGACAAAATTGCTTCCATCATCAATACAGTTAGCTCCATCCGATCGACTTTTGCTCATATTATTAATGACCAATGTTTTAAAGGAGCCTATAAATTGGAAACAAGTCGGTTTCCTATTAGAATTTCCGCAAGCCCTTATTCTTGAAAAAAAATTCTCCAAAGGATCCTGATTAATGTGCTTGGTTTTCAAATTTTTAAATCCTAAACCTTTTAGTTTTTCCCATAACAAAATAAATCCTCGAATCGTTCTGATTAGGTTTCGAAGTGTTGGTGGCTGTCGGGCTAGAGGTTTTTTCGTTTTTGGGTCTACATATCGCATTCGATTTAATATTGCTAATGCTTCTTTAAAAAATGGTATATGATAACTGCGATCAGTTAACAGAGTTCTAAATGAACTATGTTCGTCTGTTTGCACCTTTCCATTAAAGGCATCAGCCAGCTTATTGAAAAAAGCACAAAGCCACGCAGTATTTTTACCTTCTTCTGGTATTTTCCTGGGTCCCAAAGATGTATTTCTTTCTGAAATTATAACGTTACTTAGTAAATATTGAAATAAAAATTTAAAAGTATAATTGTTATCTATTTATACGATTTTCAGAATGATTTACAACTCTACCTATTATTTTGCAATAATAAAAAATATTAAAATTTTAACTTTATAAAGAAATTTGTAAATTTAGAAAAGAAAGATTTTTTTTATTACTTCGCTAATTTAATTAATTATATAATTTTTAAATAAAACTTCAAATACTAAAAATAGTTTATTTCAATAAACAACTACCTCTGCCCCCTGCTAAACCTTCTAAACGGCTAGCAACAGAAAGACTGAAAATTTGTATTGCGTTCTTGACTCGCATTTTTTTTATTTTATTCGGATAAATATGTCTATCAGTGAGTTTAGGCAAAAATCTTTGATTTTGCAATCCGTAGACATCGATTTCATATACATCTATGATGTGCTGCCAAGAAGCAAATGATCTATCTGACGATTTCTTTTTAGGATCAACATCAAATTCAAGATCTTTGTCAAGAAGGTTGTTCCTTAAACATTTTATCAAATGAGGCGGATCAAACAACGGAATTATCTCCATGTCGAATAATACGAAACAGCCATCTACAAAAGTTATAGACAAATTTATTATTGTTTTTTTAAATATGTAAATATTAAAAATAATGAACTTACTCGTCAAGATATAATCATGTCCTTTCAATCTCTCTGTATCCTGCATGAATGTGTCTATAACGGATTGATTGCTACTGCCTCCATCGCATATCGTTGCTACGACGTTCAGACCTGCATCTTTCACAGCCCCTATTACATCCTTGATGCAGAAAGAAAGTTGCCCTTTTGTAGTCTGTCCTTCACAGAAGTTGAATGATATTGGGAGGATATCGCCACTGTCGACAAATCGCAACATAAAAACTAGACCATGGTCAGCAAATTTATTTGTGCGGACGTTTCCCCAATCTTCAAATCCTACAATTTTGTCCTTGCTCTCGTCATAATGTAAACCTAAACCTAACAGCAGTTCATCCCACATTACAACTACAGCTTTTCTTTTTTCAGAATCTGCCGATTGCCCAGCTATTTTCAATCGAGAACGAGTTTCCTCTGTTACTCCAGTATCCATAGATACTTTCCTTAATACTTTCTTGAGCGTCGTAGTAAACTTGAATAGTTTACTTGAACCAAATAAAATTTCCTTGATTCAATTAATTTTTTTTTCAGTACAGTTTTAAAATGAACAGGGTTGCCACAAAAAAATTAATTTTGTTTTTCCCTGATTTCTAGACAAAATTTTCACTTTTTCCCTGACCCTAAAGAATATTCTGATTCACTCTAAAAATTATTAAAATAAAAAAACGTTCAGTATTACATTTATTTACGAATTTCTTAAATTATTATTAATTAATTATTTATTATTATTATTATTATTATTATTTATTTATTATTATTAATTATTATTATTAATTTTCTTAAATTATTTGCAAACATCAATAACTTAATTTTTAAATGAGTATTTAATAATTATTTTTCCATACGAATTAAAATTCTTCTAAACATTCAAATTAAACAATTTTTAAAATTCAACAACTTATAAGAATATCTTTATGTTTTATAAAAATTTTAATTTCCATAAAATTTTTTTAAAAAAGTTAAATTATTTACAAAAATTCTAATAAAATTCGTTGCAAGAATTCAATTATTTTCATAAATAATAAAATTCTTCACAGGGTTTTAATTATTTTTAATACAATTTTAAATAAATTTCTTGAAAAATAAAAATTATCTTCAAAAATTTTTTGCAAGAATTAAATTAGGGTACATTTCACAAATAATGAAATTATTCGCTAAAATTCAAAAATTTTCAAAATTTACAATTTTAATAAAAGTTTTCAAAAGAATTAAATTATTTAAATAAAATGTAATAAAATTCGTTGTAGAAATTCAATTATTTTTACAAGTAATATAATTTTTCACATGAATTGAATTATTTAAACAAAATTGATAAATTGATTACATTTCATGAATATATTGAAATTCTTTCTTGAAATTCAAATTTTCTTTTCCCTGATTTCCCTGACCAATTGTACTTTCCCTGACTTTTCCCTAAATTCCCTGACCTGTGGCAACCCTGATGAAGTATTCAAATACTTTAATTTAGTGCAATTTCGTAAAGTAGATACCTTTGCAACTTTCTTTGTAAATTATACAATTTCGATTTCTTCGATTGCAACTGCAGAAGTAATTGTTTCTCTCTTGAGGAAGATGCAGGTACCCTCCAAGAACATC